TTTTCCTCCATTCTTAGTTACATGTATTCAATGTTTTATTCGTGATTCTGGTGGATTGAACTGTACTTCCGTCTTGCTTTGTACTAAACAATAACATTAGCTTATGTTTAATGTGCTATTTGTGATATTAGTTGTGTAAAGTATTATTTCTGTTTTTGTTTTACAACCATAATATTACTCTCTATAGTAGATTTTCGTGTTGAATAAAATTATTATTATTATTATATTAGTTGCGCCCTGGACTGCTGTGAACTTGGGTGGGGTTCGCAGAGGTCCAGGGCGTCACTCACACCAACTTGTCAGGCTAATTTCACCCCTCCCCCATGATTATTGTCAAAAAATTCATATGCTGTACACATGTAATGCTCATTATGATTTAAAATTAATTTACAATATTGAAATTATTTCCAGGGCTCAGTGGAAACAAGATGGCCGATGCAAAAAGTTAAAAACATTACAAGATTGAAAATGATTATCAAGGACAATGATGACATTGGTGTAAATAATAAAATAAATGTGTTTTTTGTAAACGAGATTGCAGAAAGATGTGAGAATCTTCACAAGATGGTATGAATGTTTTGTTTTCTTTGCTTTTCCATGTCTGTATCATAACAGATGAAAGAAATAGTATATTTGGGGAAAATGTTCATCCTCGTTGTTGTCGTTGTTATATTGCCCATTGTACACAGCTACATGTACACATTTGTATCCAAGTGATATTGTTGACATTCACATTGTTCCTGGTCCATTTCACACATCAACATTTTTTTTTCTAATTTTCAGGATATTATCATCATCAACAATGCTCTTGTTGAGAAGTCACCAACATTTTTTTCTGATCACGGCCATAAATTTCAACTGCTTATTGATGCCAAGAAAGTCAAGACAAAAATTAAGGTAAGATTTAAAAAGTAGGCCAAATGCATCTCAAAAAGCATATAGTCATATTAGCTGACAGGCTTTTTATTTAACAGGATAATTTTAAAATTTGTAATTAATTTCCTATTTCTTCTTCATATGTCTCCAATACCCTCAGCAGATGGGAGTTGTTTCTAAGCTTACTTTGATTTGATTTTAAAATGTGTTTCTGATGATCTCACAATTTGGATGACTTCGAATGAGAGCTTCATTCTAAATTTTTTCATTTCTTCAAGTTCAACTTGTTTGATTTTAATTTGATCAACTCAAATAGAAGTGTTTTTGTACAGTACCATCTCATTATGTTCGAATTGGCGATCCATAAAAAGTGAATCCAACATAAAGACCACCTGTCAATAAAGTCATTTTTTAAAAATTATCTATTAAATATAATTACATTTGTATTTTGTTTGATAGTTTCAGAAAGCCAGTTCTTACCCGCCTGATTCTCCAATCACCACATCACCAAGATGCAAACCAAAGGTATGCAAATAACTTATTTTTTCTACGGTTAGATTTTTTTTTAATATCACAAAAAATTAGTCGCGACCTAAGCTGAAAAAAATTATATTTGTTATAAATATGAATCTATGTCTTAGACATGCCTGGACTGATTACATTCAAACTTCATATATACATCATACATAATATTATACACATACACATCAGTTTGTTTCACTATCTGATTCAAGATTGCTGAATGGCAGCCATTTTTGTGCTAAAAAGCAACAAAATCAAGCATTCGCAATCCACAAACCTTGTCTGTTTACAGATGGATTTTGTTCAAACTTGGTACATACATTAGAGATTATGGGACATTGATGCACATCATTGTTTTTTTGAATCAAATTCAAAATGGCCAATTTGTTTTAATAAATGCAATTCCTTGACATATGGAACATTTGCATGAATTTATTTGTTTGAGGGCTGAGTAAATCAAGTGTAAGACTGTGGTGTATTTGCATTGACTACCTCACTGCGCCTTCCTGGTTATTTCCATTCAAGTACTGATTTGTTTATGTCATAGTTATTACTGTCCTACGATTGGTTAAAAGTAATCATGTGGTTTGTCAGTGACCTTAAATTTTATGTAAATGACTTCATATAAGGAAGCTTTGTAGAACCTGATTTAACCTATCAGTAAGACAGGGCTGTTTTACTGTAAAGTGCACATACATCAGGACTTTTCTGAAAATATTAAAAAACAATATTCTAGCTGAAAAATATGTTGGATACATGAGTTGTACTGTGCTGTATTTCTATTTGTAAAAACCATCGCTTTGTTTCAAGATTGAGTTTTCTTCATATGAATTGTATTTTGGGTTTTCTAGGTTAGAACATACAAGTACATACCTCTGAATGAGCTGAAGGCAACCAACAGTGTTGATGTATATGGTGTTGTAAAATTCTTTAAACCAGCTTTCAAAACTAGAGGCACGGGTAGGTAGAATGTCTATTTATATTTGTATTATTGTTCTGAAAGGCCAAAAGTAGATGCAAGCAGTCTTGTGTTCACTACTTTCATTACTTCCAGTTGTGGTGCTTAATTATTGAGTCACTGTTCAATCAAATTCCATGTGTTTTGGTTTCATCTGTACATCTATCCATTTGTAA